GTATCTGCCATGTCTCCTTCCCCTGTTCCCTCGGTGTGGCCTCCTCCACCGTCTGTATCCTTCGGCGCCGCAAATAACGGGTGATCAGACAGCAGCATGATATTGCTGTTCAGGGCTTTAACAGCAGCTGCTGCTCCTCCAGACTTGCGAACTGTCGTCGTCGTAGGAATAAGGACAAACTTCTCTACTACTGACCGACCACTTCTCCTGCGCATCTCCATCTCGACCACGATGCCAGCGGTTGTCTCGGGGTTTCCCTTTTTCAGGCCGATCAAAACGCCTTCACGCCCTTCGCGGAGACCGAATTCTGGTGCTGGGAGACTCCTGCTCTGCGCTCGCTTGGCCTCGACTGCTTCGTAGAGACTTGATATGCGGAAAATTGCCGTGGAGAGATGGGTTAACTGTGTCAGAGGGTGGGGGGCGTATTCGCTCCGCGCTCGTATTATCGGGACATCCTCGTGGTATACTGCTACCAGGGGGGCGACTGGGCTAATTATTCCGGATAGAAATGCTTCCAGGAGGTGAGTGTTTTCTCCTGAAGATACCAGTGGGTTGAGGGTATCTATTATCAGGAGATATTCTATGGCTCGGGTTAATATTGAGCCTCAGAAATCTGGCATGAGTGGTGATAAGTAGGTTGAACTTACTTTGTGAATTGGCCAGTTCCTTGGGGTTTATGACCCCCTGAGGTAGGGGACAGTGAGAAGCTATCTCAGCTGCCAGAGATTTGAGGGGCTTGCCTCTCGCTTTGATGAAGATATCTGCATTGTGCGGTTTCTTCACTGTGGCGAATGATATATAGACAACTGTTGAGCGGCCGAGCTAATGGGTGAATGGTTAGTAAATCAAGTTGTAAGACGTTGGTGATAAAGATGACTCGAACCTTGGCTCTCGTAATGAACTCTTGGATGAGGGGTCCAGCGCTTTGCTCTAAGCTGTCAAGAATCAGGGTGAGCGGGCTGGAGCTATCTCTTAGATTGAGCAGCTTCTGAAGCAGCAATAAGCTGTGAGACCGGCGATGGTCTTGCGCCGATGGTGCCATGATATTGGGGATGCTGTGCTGAGAAACAGAGCTTTACGGGTGAATATTTGGCTGAGGATGAGAAAAGCGTTGTTAGTTGGGAGGCAGGGTTAAGCTTCGAGTTATATTTGCCTTTGGAATTTTATATAGACTGTTTATGTTGCAGACAATGACTTACTATAACAAATATTGACCAATTTAACCTGTTTAAAAATTCCCAAAGCTCGTTATGCTCGCTGCAATGCAGAATACCATGTTTTGGTATAAGTTGCGATGAGGGGTCCGAATTCGTTCTTAGCGCTTTTCAGTGCACTCTGACGTCCAGTGGGGTCGGCCTTGAACTTTTTGGGCGCCGCCGCTAAAACCACCGTATACCTGGCTAAAATCACCGTCTAGCCTTCAATCGAGGCATTTATTCGAGCCAGTTAAGGCATTTATCCAAGCTAGTCAAGGTATTTATTCGAGCCGATTAAGGCATTTATTCGAACCTATTAAGGTTTTTATTCGAGCCTGTTAAGGTATTTACTCGAATTAGGTATTGACCTTATAATACCAGATTGAAGGCCAAGACGGTGGTTTTAGCGACAGCGTTTTTGGGTGCCAAGCTGAAGCCTCAGCTCGCTAATCTTCCGTTTTCCCCACCAGATCGACAGCACTTGCAGGGATCCCACAGCTGTCGCCCCAGCTTCTGCGGCCCTGTGTCGCCCTGAACTTCAGCCGCGTCCTTCTAGACATTTCTGCTTCGACGTCACAGTTCACCATTTCAGGCGCCTGGGTCCCTCAACTCAAACATCCACACAACGACTTTTTCTCCCCATGGCAGACCGACAAGCAAGGGACGCCCGTCGCGGAGGGGGCAGAGGTTTCCAGGATGAATCAAATCGACGCGACAAGCATGGTAGAGATGAGCGGTATGGCAGGGACAACCGAGATCGCGACCATGACCGCGACCGTCGCAGAGACAGAGACCGAGGCGATGAGCGCGACCGAAATAGAGACAGAAACCGTGACCGAGATCGCGACCGCGACCACCGCAGACATCGGTCCAAATCACCAAATCGAAGAGACACAGAGAGAGACCGCAGAAGGTCCCAGTCGCCCAGGAACAACGATCGTCGCGAGGATCGACCAAAAGATCGTGCAGACAGGGACAGAGGTTACCGAAGCCGGAGAGACGAGGGCAGAGACAATGTCAGAGACCGAATTGGCGGCAAGGAGGTAGACAAGGGCGACCGCCAGCACCACGACAACAATAGAGAACAGGGCATAGGCGCTTTTGCGTCACCACGCCCACCTCCTAGTCCCAAGCAGCAACAGAACCACTTGGACAACGAGTCCACATCTCTCCCAAGCAGATCAAAGCCCTCCGAGCCACAGGCCCCGGTGGCTGCATCGACACCCCCAGCACATGTATCCTTCAAAGTCAAAGGAAGAGAAGGAAGTCACCCAGCAGAAAATCACAGACCTTATTCCAGAGGTCAGAGTCAGGAATACGACGATGGACGATATCAGAACCAAGCGGACGAGGAGGATCATTCACGGGGCAGGTTTGACGCCGACCCTATGGATCAAGACGACGAGGAGGAACTGGTAGTCGAGGACGATGGTTTGGAAGCGATGCAGGCAATGATGGGATTTGGAGGGTTCGACAGCACCAAGGGAAAGAAGATCAAGGGCAACAACCTGGGAGCGGTACACAAAGAGAAGAAGACCGAGTACAGGCAGTACATGAACCGCGTTGGTGGATTTAATCGGCCTCTCAGCCCCGGCCGCTAGTTTGTTGTTGGGCCAAATAAACCCATGTGACGGACTGTTTGACGATGAAAGGCAGGCGTGGCTGGGTTTATACTGTTTTGCTTCTGGGCCTCATTCTTTGTGCCTCCAGCGGTATTCTGAGATCTCGGTTCATTCTATTCTTCCAGCTGTCAACGAAACAGCCATGTCGGTCACCCACACCGTCCTCTTTCAGTTCAAGGCAGATGATTGCTTTGGCAGGTTGCTTGGATCATGAAACTTGGGTGTGATTCCCATCCCAGAAGCGCGGAGTGGCTGCTTGGTTTTCTTTTTTTTACTTCATTACATATAAGGCCACACAAGAGTCGGTCTTGATACCCCATGCAAGTATTCAGGTACCCCTCGACTTCTCATGTTGAATGAGAGTGGGAGTCTCTAAGCCCAAATATTATAATAAGTTCCGACCTGAGCTCGGAGAGGATAAATGAAAGGTCAACCCAAATCGGCGTATTTAGCGTCTGTCCATTGTTGAAAACCGTTGGTTATTTGACGGCTTTATCGTGAACGTAGCAATTGTAGTGGGAACTTTTGATGAGATCTTGAGTCCCTTCTACTACATGGGAGTCTGGAAACGACTGAACAGACAAATTCTGTCTTCCAAACGCACGTTGTGCTGTTGTGCAGCATCATGTGAAATGGAGGGGTGGTTAGCCCAGCGGCCCGGCTCCAACTCCTGAATACAGCGGCCCCACACCAAAATCCATGACCGCAGCGGCTTGAGATGCCGGCTGGGATTCCGTAGGGCAGGGCAGCACGGACATAGGCTAGATCAATCGAAGCTTCATCCTAGGCTTCCAACAATTCAACAAACGATTCCTACAATTCATACCAGCGGCTTTGCGATAAACAACGAACCAAACCAATTATTTATTGGCATTGGAACAAACGTGGCACATTCAATCTTTGCGACTGGTTGTTTACCTAAAGTTAAATCGTCATACCTCGAGAAGCCACGTACACACCTCCGAACAAGCCAATCTATACCCGTTTACCCTCTTCGACAACTCCTTAGCTACAGATTTCGCAGTCAACTTCTTGACAGAGACTATTGCGCTTTACATTCTTCGTGAGCCAGTAAACCACACACTCTACCAGGCACCATGATCCGCTCAACACAGATTGCAAGGCTTGATGGTTCGTCTCCTTTCTGTTCCAACACTTCCAGCTCCCGAGCACATGCTAACCCTTCAAACCCGCAGGCCTGATGCTATGCGCCTCAGTCGACGACCAATCCACCGAAGCCGCCCTCTCAGAAGTGAAATCGCAAGTAAAACTCATCCTCCGCCGCCTAAACCGCAACTCAGAACCGCAAGCCTCGATCGAGTCCGGCAGCCAGTACACGCTGCACTACCTCATCTCGCAAGACATCGTATTCGTCTGCGTCACAGACCGCGCCTACCCGCGAAAACTAGCCTTCACCTACCTGTCCGACCTCTCCACCGAGTTCCTCACCAACTACCCACAACAACAGCTCCTCTCGCCCGTCTTACGCCCTTATGCGTTTATGGAGTTCGACACCTTCATCTCCCGCACCAAGGCTACGTACAGTGACGCGCGCGCGACACAGAATCTGGACAAGCTTAACGATGAATTGCGCGACGTCACCAAGGTCATGACCAAGAATATTGAGGATCTGCTATACCGAGGCGACAGTTTGGAGAGGATGGGCGAGCTGAGCAGCAGGCTCAGGGACGACAGCAAAAAATACAAGAGGGCGGCGGTGAAGATCAACTGGGATTTAATGCTCAAGCAGTACGGTCCGTTTGGAGCACTTGGGTTGATCATTTTGATATTCATGTGGTGGAGGTTCTTTTGAGAGGAAAACGACAATTCTTCCGTTTCTATTCAGAGAATATTATTGGCGAAAGAGGCTGTTTGTCACCATGGGGTTGGTTGACGGTTAGGATAAGTCTGTTGTAATATACATGTTGAGGGGGACAGATATGCGTCCATGGGGTTTTGCCTTTTTGCCCTCCTGTTTTCCCTCAACAGCCTCTGTCTTGCTTTGTACATGTTGCATTTGGGCGGGTAGGATGCTTCTTTCTTGGCTTTACAAGAGCGTGGAGTTGGTCGGTGTTTTACGAAAGAGCAGACACTTAAGAGAAGCATGTGATGCAATATCGACTAATGAATTTATCACCTAGTATTATTACTACATGGATAAAAGAACAAAAAGGATAAGCCATGCCCCCGAGCGGATTTGAACCGCTGCCTGCCCTCGGGTACGCTGATATTCGCTGAGTAGACTTCGCTGGAAACATCGCTAATCTCAAACGCTGTGTGAATATCAACGCTGGCCCGCGCTCTGACCACTGAGCTACGGGGGCTTGTCTCTTTTTGTGGCTTTTTCTTGGTACCCCTATGCTTGAACTAATACATATACATTAAGAGGAGAAGAAGGTTTGGTGGTAGTGGGGAGATGGGCATGGTGGCTTGTCCTTGAAGGTTTGTTTGTAATAGAACAAAGGGGCTCGGTGGCTATTTCACCCACCTTCCCTCGGTCTATGTAGCCTATGTAATATACGCTATTTGCCATCATCATTATCATCGTCATCGTAAAATAAAGGGGACACTATACCAGCCATCCAACATCATGTAGGTAGGTTAGCAGGTGGTATCCTGGAGTTGCCCCGTCAAAGGCAGGTCCTTCATCAACACAGGAGCAGGGAGTTCCCCCTCCTTATGATCTTCCTTTACATATCGTCCTCCCTGGTTCTCCAAATCCCACAGGCCATCACATGACGCTGCAATTCGACGTGGAGGGTGCGGGTATAGGTATTTTCGGCGCCGCCATGGCAGTATGGTACCACTCAAGATGCGCCTGAAACGACTTGAGGTCCTCAAACCCCTTTTCGTCCTGCACGTATTTGACATCCTCCTCGCTGTCTTCGCCTTGGTCAAAATAAGTATACTCGTCACAATACGGACAGGATATCCTCGTCTGCCACTCCCCGGGTTCAGGAGCGATGTGATTCGCTATCGCAAGCGGCGCAAAGACAACAGTCTTCTCTTCCGTATGGTTCTCATGACTTAACGCCTGGGCCTGCCAATTCGGGTACCCGCCCGGTCCTGTCCCCGGCGGCGGTAGTGGTGCCCTCGCAGCCGGCATACTCGCCAGATCAGGCCATACGATGAATCCGTCGCAAAAATCACACACAAAGGCTATGTCGTGCTCGCCGAACCGCTCGAATTTGCCGACCGCATTGCAGCATGGTACCAAAGCCTCGAGACTAGCTCTCCGGGTCGGATCAGACGGGACCTCGCCGCGCTGGCGTGCGTCTTCTTCGGACACGGCCCTCTCGTGCTGCTGTTGCCAGGGTGGTAGCTCCTGGCGCTCTTTTTGCCGTTTTAACCGCTCGGCTTCGTTGCGTTTTTGTTGTCGGTATACCTGGAAAGCACCTAGACATCGGTTGCCGTCTTGCTCAGCTGCGAATATGCGCCGTGCGGCGCGGCATTGGGCTCTGTGTAGCTCCCGTCGGAGCTGTAGTGTCTCGCGTGCCCATATCGGATTTATTGGGCCGCCTTGTCGGGCCCAGTCTTTGAAGTTTTGTGCGTGGGATTGGAATTTGACGGCTATGGCTCGGAGCTCGAGGAGGGTTTCAACTGGTGCGGTGCATTGTGGTCAGCGAGGTGAACCTCTAAGAGCAATGTGCATGTTTTATGGTTGGAGGTGGGGGAAATGCGAACATACTCGTCCTGTCATTTTGGTAATAAAATTCCCCGTTCACTAATGGGGAGAGCTCCTGGTAGTCCTTCTTCGCCTCGTCCAATGCTTCCTCTAGTGCCCGTACTTGTTCGAACTCGTCGGGTCCCCATTGGCGTTTGTCGGCGAATCTGAGGATGCGCAGCGAGTCGTTTAGGAGGGTTGCGATGTTGGCGAGTGAACTCCCGACGGTGTCGGCCTCGCCCCCTCCTCTTTTGCTCATATCTTTTATGTCTTCTGTTTTTTTGTCTTCTTTCTCCCTCCCCCAAAAAGTGGTGTAACGATTCCTTTCTGTTTCCCAGAGTCGATGCGGTACTGCTGGCAAGCTGCTTTTCGCTGTGCCTCTGTCTGACCCGTTCCGCTGATAGAGGCCTCCCGCACTGGCTGGCGAGCAAGGTTGTCTGCTGTGGTGTATTCTTCGTCGAATATATTGACCGAGTCGTTCCCAAGGTATATGTGCTGCGCTGGTCTGATTTTTCTGCTGTAAAATCCTAAAGGGGCACTTTTCACATGCATATGTCAAGAAGTTCGTCGATTGAGGATGCTTGTTATGTCAGAGCGGTTCAGTTCATGAGGGTCCCTCGATTCTTGGCATGGATACATGGGGGGGAAGGAGCGTTTTCTAGGCTGGGTCTGGAGTGGATCTGGGGAATCTTCCAGCGTCCTTCCCAGTTGGTTCTGGAGCTAAAGATAGGCAACTAGTTCTAATACTGGTAACTGTTTGGGACGATAACAGAGAATCGAAGGGTTGTGAAATTGAGGGCGTTGGAAGCAACCGGATCCGTGGAAATAATATGAACAACTGCAAGCCCAGAGCGCCTCTTATTATTAAGTGGGTTGGTTGTTTTGGAGGTTGGGAATCAGCACAACAAACGCCCCAGAATGAACAAAAACGACAATCGGAAAGCTTTAAACGCGGAGAAATATCCGCGAAACATCCATTTATATCCGTATCCTCGTTGTGGTTCAGCCAAATGGATCTTGGCCTGGGCAATGGCAAGCTATCACGTACTATCACAGCTATGTAGATGCCCATGCAGATCGTGAAGCAAAGAACAGCCGGCCTCTGTTCTGTAGGTAGCAAGTCGGTTGTCCAATTGGCCCGATGGGCTATTCTTGACACGGCTGTCAGGCCTAGGCATGTACGGGGAGAGCTTGAAGTGTGGGTTAGATCGTGACATCCTGCATACCCTTTCAAGCAATCGCGGCGTGTGAAACCAAACATGGAAGGAAACCAGAGAACAAGCCAGTGTCGAAGAGCATCCTCCAAAGCAAAGTATTGGCTTGTATGCGATGGTCACAGCGATCCGTCTTCCTGTGTCTAAGTTGGATAATGGATTTGACTTGCTGTGCTGTTAACTTGTATTCACTTTGGCATATATAACCGGTATTGTAACCCAAGATATCCTGTCGTTCAACATCCAATAGCGGGGTGAGCGTCTCCCAAGCCTGTTAAGATCGGTAATGGGTTCCGTATTTCAGCCCTATCCAATGGAGCCAATTATTAGGGGACGTTTGCGTCATCCAACCAACCAGAAAATCGGAAGAAACGCATGTGAGACACCCAAGTCTTGGGCCAGGCCCAGAACCATCGGCAAAGGGGCAATGGACTGGCAAACTGGGAACGTCTTTAGAGCATGTGAACGTAAATGACGATTCACAGACGAATGCGCTGTATGTATGGATCTCATGAATTCGTGGTTATGTAATTCTGTGACGGCCCAAGTACGGATACGCTTGCCAGTCTAACTTCATATCAGTGTCTATCAGGATATCTACGTACATATAAAACAGTCAAGGCACAACAGTCAAAGCATTCCCCCCAAAAAACTATCAGCATGGTTATGAGTCCAATCATTTCCTCTTCTTCGCAGCCCCAGTGGTAGACCCACTGGCCTTCTCCGCACTGCTCCCAACAACCTGCTCCGCAGCCTCGGGGGCACTAGCAGGGAGCTCCTTCTTTTCAGCCTCCTTCTTCTCGTCCTCATCGTCACCGCCTTGTCCAAACTCATTGACGCGGGTATAATCAACCTTGTAAGCCCACCGCTGGTACAGATAAATGAAGAAGATGACATCGTCGCGGAGGGTTGCCAGACGGTGGAGGAAGGGCATCTTGATAGTAAAGGCGAACAAGTCGTCGATGAATGTGTTGAGGAACTTGTACATCATCGCCTTGCCTGGCATATGGGCGACGCTCTTGAGGCGGTAGTTGATGTAGAGCGAGGGAACCATCATGAGGAAGCCGTAGGCGTAGACGGATCCGACGAGGGTGGCAATGATGTACGAGTACCACGATTTATGAGTATCGTAAACAAGGGAGTAGGCTGCGTAGGCTAGCAGAAGCGGTACACCGGCAATGTACATGTACTTGAAGGCGATCTCGTCGTACTCTTTGGTCTTCTCCTCTGTCTCGCTAAGTTTGTGCTTATCCTCAAACGAGATGCGGTAGGGAATAAGGGACCCCGGTGGAGCAGCTCGGACCCTGACATTAACCACAGTTGTGATCTTCCAGAACTCAATGAGAATACCAACACCTTGAGTGCCAAGAATCATCCAGCTCGTATTGGCCGATTGGTCGACCAAATACAGGAAAATGACGGCCTGCATGAAGACATTGGCCAAGATGGACCGCACCGAGATGCCGACGTTGTCCTTCTTTTTTCGGTAGTGCGCAATGTCGGAACCGAAGGCGAGAGTCTCCAGGATCATATGTGCGATACTGACGACGACGGTGATTATAAGAAGAATGGGGTTGGTATCGATAAAGATCTCCTTGACCATCTCGATCTCGCTGCCGTCACTGCCACCAGGGAGCGGGGTTCCAAATGCCGACTGGCGAGCCGCTTCCTTGGAACTCAAATCAATAGACGCCATGGTCTGGAACTTCCACTTGGCCATATTGTCCAAGTCAATGTGCATCGGCAGAGTCTTGACGGTCTCGTTGAGGAGCGTCATATGAGACTTGAGCTGCCAGAACGTATTGACATAGAGGATAGGGTAGTACCACGAGTTCTGGCCCGAACCATCGCGGGCACCTGTTCGCTCGAGTTGGAGGTAATGGCGGACAGCGGCGTGGGTCTGAGGGAACACCATGGTATCGGAACTTGGGATGAAAGACAGGGAGACGTTCGGGTGGTAGTAGTTCGCGATGATGGGGCCAGACGGCACACTCTCCTCGTCCTCGGGTTCCTCCTCGACTGTCGTGTTGGCGGCCCCAAGAAGACTCCTGGTCTTGGCGACTTTCTTTTTATAAATATGCTGGGTGAGCGGGTAGACGAAGTGGTACGCAGAACCTGCATCGTAGTTGGGTTGGGTGGGATCGATATTGGCGCCAGATAGGGCAATATAGAAATGTCCCCACAGAGTTCCATTATTCTGGACAGACTTGGGAACCGTGATAGTGGTATCTGTCGAACGCTTGTCGGTCCAGTTTCCAATTCCAAATTTCTTCTCTTCCAGTACAATGAGTTCTTTTGCCGTGTTCTTGAGGGGTGTGGGTATCACGGATTGAGAAATGGTCACGATGATATCGACGTTGCTGTTGTCTGGCCATATCGGGGCAATTTTCTGAGGAATGGAGCTGTAGACGGCGCCTTCGTCAAGGCGATCAGGGCGCTCGTTATA